TGAAGATGGGCGGGGCACGAATCCCTTCACCCGTCCCCTGCGAGCTCAGCCGGCGAGCGGCCTGGGCGCGGGGCTGGCAGCTGTAGGGCGGGGTTAGTGAGGGGGGAGCGGAGATGCAGCCTAAGTCCCTACGGCCGGGTCAGGGACTGCGACCCGCCAGGAGATCCCGGGCTGGTCAGCTCGGCTGGGCACGTTTAACCGCTTCTCCCCAGTGACCCCACCTGGTTCTGTCCCCGGGTGGAGTCAGCGGGTTTTAGGGCAGGGGCGGGCTGGGAGGCAGAACCTCTGGGTTCTGTTTCAGTGGCTACGGGGGGCTGCGTGTTGCACAGCCCTTCCGACTAATCCCGGCCCAGGCGGTAGCAGCTCTGTCTGTTGCCAGGATGGTAGCGAAGTCCATCTGGGAAGGAGCATCTTTGTGCCTTAGCTGCTCTGCTACCTGTGAAACCTGGGCCATCGTTGGGAAGGTGCAGAGACTGACTTTAGTTAGACAGTGCTTGGTCTAGGCAGTGGAAGCAGAGTTCAGGGGTCTTTTGAAATATCTGCCTTTGCTGGGATTTGGGTATCCTGATTGCATTGTAGGTAATGATTTACTGCTGCAGGCTCAGTCATTTAACTCATGTTTCAATATGGAATTCACATCTAGAGAAGGGAGCTGGCAGTCCAGTCTTCTCAATTCCATCACTTGCTCTTGTGTTGAAGCAAGTGACGGGACTTCAGGGTTTGTCACTGGCTCAGGAAGGGTGGGAGTAGAGTCTAATGGACTACAGCAGAGATGCTGATAGTCAAAATTCCTAACTTTTATTCCTAAGTATTTCACTGACTCAGTGTCTGCTTGTTTTCTGTTTGGATTTTATCTTTAGTGCTCCCAGTAGGTTATTGGGTAGCTGCTGAGAGCTGACAGGAAAGCTGCTTGTCTCTCTCAGGCTGTATAATGCAACGGAGGCACAGAATGCAAGACTTAATATCTTTAGGCTGCTGTGGAAATTGTCTGATTTTTGAGTAATTTGCCCTAACCCTGGTTGTACTGTCCATTCAGCGTGACTGGAACCATGCAGCTGTTCATCCGTGCTCAGAACCTGCACACCCTTGAGGTGTCTGGACAGGAAACAGTATCTCACCTTAAGGTAAGGAAGGATTCCCTAGCCACATTCTGTCTTATGCCACGCTTAACCGTTCTGTCAGGCTTTTCAATGCATCCTTTTGACAGAATGATCCTGTCCAGAGGGGATGGCAGAATTGCTGCTGACTTCTGATCACAAATACTGGCAGAGAACGTATTGGGCACCATATGTCCCTTTCCTCTGCTTCGTCTGTTTTGAAAGTAGCCCTGTGAGAATTAGGGTCATGGCTGCCCAAAGATGGACCACATCAGGCTTTGATCTTGACATTATAAGCTAAGCATGTGCTTTCTAGACCAGAACTTGGATGGAAAACCAAGATGTTCTGGAGTTGAATAATTAAGGAGCACTCTGAGTCTGTACCGATTCCAGTGCCCTAGCATGGTGTTGGAAAATGCAGTGCTGAAGGAAGTAGGGTGAGATAGAGCTCTGGTGGGATTGTTTTCCCCTCTTGAATTAGTACTGGTGTCAACCAGTACTCCCTAGTGTCTAGTCCTTCAGAAAAAATATTAAACATTCCTGATTGCTTGATATCTCTGGCACTTTCAGTGATCCCAAATTATAATTGGGATAATTGCATTTGGCCTTTTAGTTTGAATGAAGGGCTGTTAGTTCATCCCATAATTTAGTGGTACTATTCCCCAGTGCCACTCTAAACAACTCTAGCCAGCTTTTCTATAGCTTGTATGCCTTAGTGCAGGGATTCCTCTCCCCTCCATGGCATTTGCCTTGTTCATGTCCTCAGACACTTTTGGAATGCATTCTCTTTCATTGCAAAGCCAGATGTGACAGCTCTAACTCTCCTCGTAAATCAGTCCATCTCACTTCTGTTCAATAGTATTGGGATCTGAGCTCCATTCTACCACTCAACCTTTTTAGGATTGTGCTGCCCAGAGAGAAAGTCTTTGATCAGGAATGGTGTGCCCCCTTGGGTCACATCCCTCTGCCTTGTGCCATGGAGGGGAATCTGATACCCACTGACTTGTGGAAGGTGTTTGATTAGCTTTGCTCTCCCAGCCTCCCTAGCTGATTGTATCTTGTGTCTCTTATCAGGCTCACATTGAGTCCCTGGAAGGCATTGCACCAGAAGATCAGGTGGTTCTCTTGGGTGGAACTCCTTTGGAGGATGAAGCTATCATTGGGCAATGTGGCATCAGCGAACTTGCCACTCTGGAGGTGGCTGCTCGCATGTTGGGTGGTAAGTATTAAAAGGCCCTGGTGTACTGAAGTAAAATTCCATGAGGCCCCTGGACAGGTGGAGGAGGCATGCAAAGAATTCCCATCCCATTCTCCTAATTAGCTGTATTTCAGGAGTGGATAGTCAAGCTGTTAACTGCCAGCTACAGCAGGGTCACGCTAGAGTAAGACCACTGTGGCTCTGAATGGTGCCTGGGAAAAGCCAGAGGACATGGAGGATGTCTGTGTAAAACAAGCTTGTTGGGTCTCAGCCCAGTGCACGAGGATCCAATAGCAGAGAGCACTCTGAGGCCCCAGAGTGAATGGAACACTTCAAAGAACAAACTTCTCTCCAGCCTAGGACTGAGCCCATTTGGCTTAGCTTGACCACGGGAACCTTGCCAGCCCTTTGGATGGCCATGTAGACTTCTCTCAAAAATCAAAACAAAACACAACCCACAGCGCACACGGGGGGGAGGAACAACAACCCCACAGCACAGTCTCAGCCTGAGACTGAAAGTACACTGCAGTTCTGTAGCCACGACTAGTGACTAAAACACAGGCCCTGGAATGACAAAGTTGGGATTAATCTGGTCAACTGTCCCATATACACTCTACATAATGCCCAATATCCTGTGTTGCTGAGTGCAGCTCTCTTGACTTCTCTTGCCAGGTAAGGTCCATGGCTCCCTGGCTCGTGCTGGGAAGGTGAGAGGCCAGACTCCCAAGGTAAGTGATTCTTTTGGTTCACAGATATAAAGGGGTGAGAGAGGGAGACAGGGATGACATTCACCCACTGCAGACTTTGAGAGTTTTTTGCACTTTACCTGTAAATGTTTTGAGACCACCAGAGGTTCCCAAACTAAGGCCCACAGGCCATGGCAAACCTACAAATACATTTTGATTGTCCCACTGAATGCAGTGGCATTACAATTACAGGGTACACATGGCCCATAATCTGATGGGTTGTAAGAGTCTGTTTACATTGAGCATCTGCAGTTCATCATTCCCAGCCAATGGGAGCCATAGGAAGCAATGTGGGCTGCAGGGACGAGCTGACTGCTGCTCCTGTTGGCCAGGAATGGCAAAACAAGGCCATTGGAAGCTGCAGGTGGCCATCCCTGCAGATACTTAAGGACATAGTTCAAGTTCAAAACCTCTACTCACCAGATGTTCCCACGAGGAACTTAATATGTACACATGTCGACAGAAAAGCACACTCCAGGACTACTTAGAAGCCTGTTAGAAGGACTCTTCTTCATCTTTCCCTTTTTCTTATCTTCCCTCTCAATTTCCCTTTCCTACCACCTCTTGCTTTTCCCTGAGCTGCTTCCTAAGATAAAATGACTACCCACACTTACCGACTTTCGTCTGCTGTCTTGTCTGTTAACTTTAAGTTCTTCAGGGTAGGAATAGTCTTACACTGTTTATGGGGATTGCCTTTGTGTAAAAAAAATTGTATCAGGGTAGTCATGTTAGTTTCAGCAAAAATGAGGAATCCTGTGAGATTTTTGAAGTGCAACAGGACTAATTTGTACAAAATATGCATTTTCTACAATGGGCCTGCTCCAGGCCCCCATAAGAGCAATGATGTGGCCCTGACAGCTAAAAGTTTTGGGACCCCATGCCTGGTGGTTAGCACGAGGGGAGGCCAGGAGTCAAGTCTAGATGAGTGCTGCCTCTTGGCATGGCGCTAACCATGGGCTCTCCCTCAAAGGTTGCCAAGCAAGAGAAGAAGAAGAAGAAGACTGGCCGTGCCAAGAGACGCATGCAGTACAACCGGCGCTTTGTCAATATTGTGCCAGGCTTTGGCAAGAAGAAGGGCCCCAATGCTAACTCCTAAATCATGCACCTCACCCAATAAATCAGATGTCACTTGAGCTCACTGCCTTGTGCCTGCTTTCATTTTCAGGCCCTGAAATCAGACTCTTCTCTTTTCCCTACCCTTGCATGTGAGCTGTTCAAGATGCCCTTGAGTCCCAGCCACCCCTGCTTGCCTGTGCTTCTGATTTCTTTGGGGCACTTCAAGGAAGGGATCCAGCTGTGAGTGACCCGAGGGAGGGGTTAGGAGGAGCTAGGACAAGGGAGGTGACCTACAGGTTGTCTTACGTGCTGCCTTAACTCAAATGTTTACATAGTGCTGCATGTTCACCGGAGCCTCAGTGCATTCAATGTCCTGCGTACAACCAACATTATGGGCTCTCTGAACAGGAAGGGGAATGAGCACTGGATTGGACTGCTCAATGAGCTGAATTCTGAAATCACTTTTCTCTTTAAAACAGTGCAGATTCTGGAGAGACTTTATCCTGGGCACCAAAATGAGTTCTTTCTGGAAGCTGTAGCTACACTGAGCAGGAAACTGTTAATCGGTATAAACAAATAGGGTCATCAGTAGGGAAAAAACAGATACATCTAGTGACTGATCTGAGCACTGACAATCTGGGTAACTTGGTCCTTCCTAAATTGAGTAGGGAATTTTTGGGGGTTAGGGGCTGTTGGTCCTTCCTAAATTGAGTAGGGAATTTTTTGGGGTTAGGGGCTGCTCACCTCTAGAAAAATCAGCCATGGGAGAAGCAGAAATTCCTGTGCACCCCTCTCCCCCAACCAAAAAACCAAAGCCTCACTGACTTGGCCCCTGACTGAAGAGAAACATTCCCCTTGCACACCAGAGCTGGGGGGGCCCTAGGTGAGAACATTTTGGGGAAGGGGGGGCTAGAGTGCCCCAGGGAAAAGCCCTGAGCCTCTGGGGGCCAGATCCAGCCCCCAGGCCTCTGCTAAACAGTAAGAGCTAGGACCATTTGGTATGCCACTTCCTCTAACATAACTTAAACAAGGTGTAAGGGGTTGCTTGTGCCAAGATAATGGGTTATGTGTGGAATTTGCTTGTTGCTAATAAGGGAAAGGGAGGCGTCTGGCAAGAGGGGGTTATACTGGAGAAAGACTACAGGAAGGCAACAAGGGGCCAGAGAAGGGGATATGGACAGCTATAGCATTGTGCTAGTGGGGTGGAGAAAGCTACAGCTATCTGATACATTTCAGAGTGTTTATGCCTCTGTTTCCTAACTGTGGGACATGCACCTTTTCCCTAGCTGTGCCTACTGGAGCCACAGCATCCATGAATAGGCTCTTCTCACCTGACTCCTAGCTGCTATGCTAATGGAAGGCTGGGGCAATCCTCTCTCCTGGGCAGCCTGTATACTGACCCCCTCATTCCTATCCCTGAGCAATTATTTAAATTAAGAAAAACAAAACTTATTTTGAGTTAAAAGGCCAGAGCAATGAAGTGCTGGGAACTCCTTGCACAGGACAGCAATGTGTTTACACTCCCTGCCTTTTCAGGATGAGTTAAAAGGCCAGAGCAATGAAGTGCTGGGAGCTCCTTGGACAGGACAGCAAAGTGTTTACACTCCCTGCCTTTTCAGGGATGGAGGGCTCTGTTTGTTATTACTGCAGCTTTGAGGATGTAATGCTGGATCTGTAGTGTTGAGAGAAGCAAGTCGCTTCTAAGACTAAAGGAAGAGGGTGTTTCATAGGGCTCTGTGTTGCAGGATTCCAAAGCAGTGCTGCTGGGGTTGTGTCTGGGGTGGCACAGGCTCGCTTTTTGGCAGTGGTGACTTTCCTTAAAACTGGGGTAGTGGACAGGAGGGGAAAGTGGTCACAGGGATGCAGGTTTTGCGGGGGTGGGGGGGCACGCAGACCGTGGAACAGCCTGACTACGCAGGCAACAGCCGAAAGGACGGGGGGAGGGGCGTTCCGAAGCTGAGGCTGAACACGCGAGAGCAGGGGCCGTGCTCCGAGCGTTTCCGAACAAGGGCGGAATCTCGCGAAGTTCTACGAGCGCTTCCGACTGGGAGACGGAAAGGCCCGAGCCGCGGCGGTGGCGAACGCGCTCGAGCGAGTCCGAAGTGCAGGCAGAAAGACCCGAGCGCTGCCAAGATGGAGGCGGCCGGGCCCTGCGGCCTGTGCCTGAGGGAGCGGGCCCCCTACACCTGCCCCCGCTGTAACGCGCGGTTCTGTTCTGTGCCTTGTTACCGGGGCCACGGGGCCTGCGCCGAGGCCTTCCACCGCCAGCAGCTGCTGCTCCGGCTCCAGGGCCAGCGGGGGGACCCGGACTCCCGAGCCCGCCTGAAAGAGGCCCTGCTCCGGCTGCGGGAGCTGCGTGAGCTCGAGGACGCGGAGCCCCAGCTAGGCCGCAGCCCGGAGGCCCACGATGACGGTCTGTGGGAGCGGCTGAGCCCGGCCCAGAAGGCCGCCTTTCAGCGCCTGCTGAGCAGTGGGGAGATTGGCGCCTTCCTGCCCCCGTGGAGGCCCTGGTGGCGTGGAGGGGGCCGCGGGCTGGTCCAGGAGCTGGGGGCCGCCGAGGATACCCAGCCCCCTGCGGGCAGTCAGCAGCCGGAGGAGCAGACCCAAGGCTCCGCACCCATGCACCAGCCCCGGGTGCCAGGAGGTACTTGCCCCCCCACAGGCACCCAGCAGCCAGAGGAGAGCCCAGGCAAGGCAATCACCCAGCAGCCAGAAGTGCCAAGCCCTGTGCCTGCTGTGCCTGCATCCATTCCACCACTGAGCTCCCTGACCCGCAGCCCAGCTTCACCCCTGGTGTGCTTCCAGCTGCCTAACGTCCTTTATGCCTATGTCTTTGCCCTCACACTCTACAATGGGGACTTGAGTGAAGCTGAACTACTGCCTGAGTTCTCTGACACAGTCCTGGATGTCTCCAGGGCACTAGGTGCCAGGCAGGTCTTCCATTCTACAGCAGAGGCACTGCAGGCTGCTCTCCAGGCAGTGACAGCCAGCCATTACCCCGAGTGCCCCCTGGGGAATGCAGGTGCTATCATGGCAGTGGCCCTGATTCTGATGGGGGAGAATCAAGCAAAGCAGAAAGGCTACAGCCTGGCAGCCCTCTCCCATCTTGCCATGTTGCTGGGCAAGGCCAAGAAACTGGTGCCAACAGAGGAGCGGCCTCGGGTGTATGGTGCCAAGAAGAAATGTGAATTTCTGCTCTCTTGGGTCAATGAGAACCAGGAATCTTTGACTGTCCTGGCTCTAGAGGTGCAAAGAGAATATAAAACACATTTGGAAGCAGTCAAAGAGATGGATGTAGTTACCAAAGAACTGGAGAAGATGTGGGGTGGGAAACTGCCTCCTACAAAAAAGCCATTGATTGAGGAGTTGGACTGATGGCTGGAACTCAGTCATTCCTAATACCATCCATACTTAAAACGTTAGGGCATTGGAGTGACGACAGGCCCGTTTAGAGACTGGATTTTTTTTAAAGATAGTCTTCATTCACCAAGATAATCTTGGTGAATAGTTATTTTGAATAAATCCACCTCACTAAGTCTTGGCATAAATGTTGATCTGGTTTCAAAGGGGTTGAACTGTAGTAATAAAAACCGCAAAGTAATTGGATGTGTGCATTTTTGTCTTCCATTGGGTGGGATCCTTGGTGTGTTCCATCCACTTGGCTGTTACTTTGATGGTTTCAGAGTTGGTGTGTTCCACTGGTGCTGCGGATGTCTCTAGCTGGTCATAAAGTCCCATGCTGTGTGTTCTATATCCCACCAAGTACAGACTTTTGCAGGAATCAGTTTAAAAAAAAAAGGCAGCTAAGCACACCTCAAGAGCTAAAGTTGCTGCAAGTCACAAAGCTAGCATTTCAAGAACAAACTTACTCTGGATCCTTACATCAGTGCTGACACCTGTTATAAATTACTTTCACAATAACAGACCATGAAAAGTCCTTTCTTTCCTGTGCATTAATATGGAAGTATTTCCCCCAAGTGCTACTCTGCGTCATTAGCCTGGAGTTTCAGATAGAAATAACTAAAAGACAGCTCCTTTTGAGAAAGATGCTGAACCTGTTCACAGCTCAGGAGTGAGCAAGAGACAGTGGCAGGAGAGATTGAATGAATAACAAGTGTTTTTAAAATCTGGTATTTAAATGTATCTAGTCTTATCTAGCTAATGTTTCTCTAAGCTATTGTAACTGATCACTGTTGTAGGAATGTAAGAATTGCTGGCCTGCATGAGACATGTGGTCCATATTTTTCTGTATTCTGCCTCTGATAGTCGTCTGCAACAGATGCTAGAAGAAGGTAGGCAGATGTAGAATAATCTGCCCCTGCTGCTCCGTAGGAGTTAGATTGGCTTTAAAACCTGAATAGCAAGGTTTAATGTTCCTTCTATAATGTTGTGAGTTATGACAACTGGATATTATTGATAGCCATATAAATAGTTCATTCTTTTTTTTTATAGTACTGAATTCTTCATCTCAGTGACTTCCTGTGGCAGTGAGTTCCACAGTGTGTTGTTTGGAAAAGGTCTGTTCTGTTTTATTTGTGACACAGAATGTACAGCATGGGGCTTTGGTTAAAGGCTTGCCAGGATAGTTGTTGGCAAATACCCTATGATAGTTTGGATATCGGCCTATCACAGGTGAATTTCATGTGTCTCAGGGAGGAGGGTGTCATCCCCTAAATGTTTGGAAAACTATTGATGCCCCTAAGTCCCATTGGAGAAGTGTGATTAGTTACAGTTCTAACACCTTAGTCTTACCCTATCGGGCCCGTGGTGGGTGACAGGCTTCATATAAGGATACTTTAAGGTTCTGGTGTGAGCGCGCTTGAATTTGTAATCTTACAGGACATGCTGTACAACTTATCTGTTCTTTTGCTTGGGCTGAGAGCTAGATATTGAGTGGGGGTTCTGATTTAAGGAGTTGTGGGGGGGGGGGGGGAATTGTGGTACTGCTACCCTTCTGCCTTGAGAGCGGAGCAACTGGAGACTGCTGGCTGGAAACCCAGCTTTGAAGGCAGAACCACTGCCAACAGCAATGGTGCAGAAGTAAGGATGGCATGGTGTGTTATTGTCACCCTTATTTCTGTGTTGCTGCTTGCAGAGCAGGACCCTTAGCAGCCACCACTCTCTAACACTCAGCTCTGAAGGCAGCAGTGCAGGGGCATAGTATAATATTACCATCCTTACGTCAGTGCTGCTGTTGGTGAAGCACTGCCTTCAAAGTTGGGCATCCGACCACCAGTTGCCACACTTCATGCGTCATCACTCTCTGGCCACCCAGCTCTGAAGGCAGCACAGATGTAAGGGTGGCCTCCCTAAAATAATTTTGTAAACCCCCTGCAACTCCATTTTGAGTCAGGAACCCCAATTTGAGAAATGCTGGTCTCATGAAAGCTGTATATATACAGCAGGGCTGGGCAACCTTTTTTAGGTCAGGGGCTACTGCCCCACACAAAAATCAGTCAGGGGCTGTGCACAAGTGAGAAGCCCCTGATTGAGAAGCAGAAAGACGTGCCTCACATTCTCCTTGCACACCAGAGCTTAGGGTGCCCCAGGCTAGTAGATTTTGTGTGCTCCAGCCCTGCAGGTGGGTGGCAAGGGGCCTGGAGCACCAGTGCGGGCTCTCCAATGCAGGGGTGGCAGAATCCTTAAGCCTCGGGGTCTCAATCCAAGCGGCCTGAGGTCCTGCACCCCGGTATACAGCAAAGCACACAAAAGACCAGATTTTATAGTGGGAGGCCAGATTTCATAACCCATGACATGTTTTTCACGGCTGTGAATTTGATAGGCCCTTACTTATAATGATATCCAGTGGTCTGCAACCCACCTCAAATTTCTTTGCCCAGCCAAAGAAGAGTTAAGGTGTAAGTTTAGAACTAGCATTCACCTGTCTTGGCTGGAAGGTGGCCTTATGAGTTGAGAACTCTATTTGGTTTGGGCACTAGCCAATGACTTAGGAGACCTGGGTTAAAATCCCTGCTCTGCTGCAGATTTCCCCTATGGCCCTGGGCAAGTCACTTAGCCTTTCTGTGCCTCAGTTTCCTCATGAGCATGGTAGGGATTATAGCACAGCCCTACCACATATTAACACTGTGAAGATAAATACATTACATGTTGTAAGGGCCACAAATAGCACTATGTTTGGGACTGTATCAGTATCCATGGGCACATGTACATTGCTTTGAAAGATCTGTGGCATGACTGTTGCTGGCACAGGTCACCTGACTTGGGTTGGGGCTCTGAAGCTATAAAATTGCAGCATAGACATTCAAGCTGGGGTTAGAGCCTGGACTCTGAAACCCTTCCTGGGATCTGAGGGCCCAGGCTCTAACCCAAAAGTCTACACTGCAACTTTACTGCCCTGCAGCATATGCCCCATGAATCTGAGTCAGCTGACCAGGGTAGATCCATGGTGGGCAACCAGCAGTCCACGGGCTGCATGTGGCCCATTGAGGTTCAGTGTGCGACCTGCAAGATATTTTGTTTTCACTGCCCATGCACAAGGTTGCCAGATTTTGTTTCCCAACAGACTGTCTTTGTCATTACAATCTTTCAGCCCACTGAGATGAAGGAAGGTCCCTCATGTAGCCCACTCACTAGCCTAGGTTGCCCATCACTGGTGTAGATTTACTTCAAGATAGAAGCATAAAGTGGGAAATGAGTCACTGAAGATCATCCCAGGGCAGAGCTGGGACTAGAACCCCACTCTGCTGAGTCCCAGTGCTCTATCCTCTATGCCACATGGCATAAACACTCCTGGGCTATGGGCCATTCAAGGAGTCAGAATAACCGGTTCCATGCACATACCATTCTGTATTAGTCTGCAGGGTTTTCCTGACTTCTGCTGGCTTGCAACCTTTCTGAAGCACTTTGCAAAGTTTGAGACTCCGCTGTAGATGTGCCCTTTTATGTTGGTACACAATTGAGCTGTGTGGGCCTCTCATGGACCTAAGTCTTGAAGGGATCATTGTGATCATCCAGTCTGATTTTTCCCCATCCTCCAAAGACACTAGAATTTTCCCCAGATGCTAGATTAAAACTAGGGATGTTAGAATGTAACCAACTGTTTAAGCGATAAGTTGGTGCTTATTGGTTAATGGCATTGGTTACACTCAGCTGGCTCCTGGGGAGAAGGCTTCGTTGCAGCAGTGAAGCTGCCTCCCCAGGAGTGAAACAGGCAGGGGCTAGCATCCTGGTTCCCTGGGAGGCAGCTTCTCTAAGGCAGGGAAGCCTCCTCCCTGGGAGCAGAGCTGGCAGCATGTAACCACTGAGATGTTCAACAGTTCACAAAGATATTTAGTTTTACCTTAAAGACTCCAGGCAGTGGCCAGCCGGCCTGTTGCTCTAGTGTTTACTCACCCTCCTTGCTAGGAAATTGATTTCTTTCAAAATTACATTTATGATTTGTCTAACTTCAACTTCCAGCCTTTGGATCTTGCCATCTCTTCCTCTGCTAGACTGAAAATCCAAATAGCCCCGGGCACAGAAAAGAGTTCCTAGGGCAGTGGTTCTCAAAGTATTAAACAGATCTGACTTTAACTTTCTCATGTTAGTTTTGCAAACTTCATTTTAAATAAAGAAAAATATTAATTTATGTTCAACACAAAAGGGCCCCATGTTTTCTTTATGGCAGAGGTGGGGAACTTTTTTGAGATCCGGGCAACTGACCCACAGAAAAATCAGTTGGGGACCACGTAAGTGAGAAGCGAAAGAAAAAAACCCTCCAAAAGTCCCCAACCCTCATTGGTGTGGCCCCCAACTTCGCTCCACTGGTGTTCCAGCCCTGAGGGGAAGGGAGGATTGAGGTTCAGGACTTCCCATAGGCCAGATTTACTCTTCTGGCATTCCAGAGTTAGTCAGTTTTGTGCCCCCCACCTCCGCGGACTCTGAGGTTGGGACAAAAATGAGGGATTCAGTGTGTGGGACAGGGTTGCTAGCAAGAGGGGTGGAGGTTTAGGATCTGGGCAGGAGGTGAGCTCCAGGAAGGAGTGAGGGTGCGAGGTCTGGATGGGAGATAGGGTTTGGGAGTAGGGTGTCTGGTGAGGGGGAACAAAAAACAGGACTATGTAGCACTTTAAAGACTAAGAAGTTGGTTTATTAGGTGATGAGCTTTCATGGGCCAGACCCACTTCCTCAGCAGAGTGTGGCCAGGAGGGAAGATACAGGAGCAAGGGAGGGGGCAGGAGTGGACTAGGGATCTAATAGTGTAGTCAGTTAACCAATTCACTGATAATCAAAAGCTTATAGATTAATGCTATAGACTACACACATTTCCCACCCCTCCATCCCCACCCACCAGTAAATTTTTTAGCAGGCTGGGCAGCAGTGCTAGCTAGTGATGGGTCCAGAACCTACCCCCGCTGAGTCTCTGCATTTAAAGTGTATTAGGAGCCAGGTGGGCAGGCAGCTTAGCTCAGTTCTGGTTCATGCTGGGTCTGGGAGCTCAGACCCTCCTCTAAACAAGCTGCTGCCACCCTGCGCTGCTGCCCCTTTATCAGCGGCAGCAGCACAGGGCAACAGGCAGCCGGTTCACGAGGGGAGGTGGTTTTTAAACTGTTTCCCCTCACGACCAGCTCCTACCTGGCACCCTGCACTGCTGCCTCTGATTCAGAGACAGCAGCACTGAGTGGCAGGGCTCCTTGGGAGTGGGGCTCAAACACAGTAGCTGCCGGCCCCATCCCCAGGGACTATAGAATAGTCGACTGCAGTGCTTTTTTTGTTAAAAAAGAAAAAAGTGCCAGTACACCAGAGGAAAAGTTGTTGAAGAGAAAAAAAAAAAGCCAGGGTGGGCCTAGCATTGCCCTTTTAAGAGACATGGCCCCTTTAAGACACGTGTCCCAGCTGACTGTCACACATTTCTATACAGAGGTGCCCGTATGCTCTGTTCTTTCCAGGTAAGCTCTGACTGGAGGTGCCGGTACCGCGTACCAGGCAGTACTGTCACAAAAAAAACACTGGTTGACTAACCGATAACAATTCATGAGCTTACTTGACTATTCAATTAATTGATATTTAACATCCCTAGAGTGGACTGGGGGTAGAGAGTCTGGCCAGGAGGAAGGGTGCAGAAGTAGGGTGTCTGGCCAAGAGGGAGGGTGCCGGAGCAGGCTGAGAGTAGGGTGTCTGGTCAGAAGCAAGCTGGGGGTGTGGGGTCTTGGCAGAGGGGTAAGTGAGGGGGATTGGGGTGCAGGGTCTGGGCATGGGGGAGGGCGCTTACCTGGGTTTGTGCCCCTGTCATTCCCAAGCACGGCCTCCTGCTGCTCCCATTGGCCAAAACTCCAGTCAACGGGAGCAGCAAGGAAAGCCTGCAGTGTGTCACTGCACTGCTGTTTTCCCAGCGGTGTGGGGATAGGGGGAGAGGAGTGACAGTGCATGGAGCCACTTGCTCTGCCCCTCTCTGTGAGCTGGCTCTGCTGGGGAAGGTTGGAGCTTTCTTTCCCACCACCAACCCCTGTGCCCTCCAAGCAGGAAGTTGGAGCTGGTGCTTCAGCCTCACGACTGCAAGGCTAGACCACCAGCACAGGCTCCCTGCTGTGGGAGACGGAAGGGGGGCTGAGCTGAAGCCATGGACCACCTGTCAGGTGGCTGCACTTTGAGAGTGTTACCTGTGTGGCTAGTTGTTTCCTGCATTTAAGAGCTGACAGTTTGCTTATCTAGCCCTCAAAAGCATCGCAAACATTTGATTTTGAACTCAGATTGAGACTTGAGTTTAATATATTTTAATAAAATCATCATCACTTCAGTGCACTGTTCAACACTCCAGCTTTCCCCAAAAGGGGAATTTCCCCGATAGTTAAAATTACAGACACAGCAAACAGACACAACAAACCGAACTGGTATTCCGCTTCCAGCCAAAGCAGACTCCCAGCTGTGACTCGGTCTTTGGGGCTTGTATTCAATCTGGTGTTAGCTCAAGCTCATGTGTAGCTCCTACCCTGACTCCTGCCCAAACAGATCTCTAGCCTGAGTTAAATGGTATTTTGAAATCAAGCTAACTGGCCTGTAAGGGGATGGAGGTTGAAACTGGAGGGCTACTGCCACTCAAGCTAATAATGCCGGAGGGCTACAACAGCTTGAGTGACAGGAGCACATCATTTGCTAATCCCATCACTCTGTACAGCTCCATATTGTTTCATGGTGCAGTTGCTTTCACGCTGCTCTCAGTGGATATCTACACTGCTTTCTGAAGCATGACTGCAGCTTGGGGGTAGAGGGGGTACCTGTACTAGCTTCACTCTTAACTAGCCTGGCTAAAAACAGTAAAGATGCAGCAATATGTGCTGTGCAAGAATCACAGAACTGGAAGGAACCTTGAGAGATCATCAAGTCTAGTCCCCCATCACTCATGGCAGGACCAAGCAGCATCTAGACCATCAACCCTGCACATCTACATTGCTAGTTTTAGCCACACTGGCTAGCTGAAAGGTACTTTGGCTATGCCAGTCTAGGCTGCACTCACATGTCCGATTGCTGGGCAGACATACTAAAGGTACTTTGGCTATGCCAGTCTAGGCTGCACATGTCCGATTGCTGGGCAGCCATACTCTCACTTGAATTCAGCTAGAGTAACTCCAGTGTACTCATTTGAGCTAACTGTTGCAGTAAGACAAACCCTTCATCTCATCATGACCTGTGCATCTGTCAGGCTGAACTTTCTGCTGCAGCCTTGCACCTCGTTACAGCCGCAGAGGAGACTTCAGATACAGTCCATTCTCAGATAGCCAGGTTGCAGCCAACCATGGTGGTTGTGATATGGTTAGATTCTTTCATTAAAGCGTTACCAAATGAGCAATGAGCTCCTTCGTGGTCCCTCACAGAAGGCAATGCTTTAAGCTTGAGTGAAGCACAGAGAAATGCAGGTCAGACATCTAGTGCTGGTATGAAAACTTTGTGGGTTTTGTTATACATCCAGGTATACCACCTGTGATTAGGATGTTGGCAGGACAGCTTCCAAGATATAGAGTTTGATTTTGTTGACTGTCAAAGGGAAACCTTCCTAGAATACAGGTGATGGTGGCATGTAATCTATGTGTTACAGTAGAACCCAGAAGCTCTAACTGGGATTTGGGCCTCATTGTACTTAGTGCCGTACAAAGGAGATACTGGCGGCTATTCTCTGACTGAGTACTGACCCAAGTGGTCCAGGATGGTTCTAGAAGATTGTGCAGCTTAGTTGACTGTGCTGTCCCCTTGGAGTCCATGGTGATTTCAGTGCCCCAGTCTGGTGTCCAGTGAGGCAGTGTTGCAAGGAGCTAAGTACAGGACACTTTCCCCAGTGCTGATCCCAGTGTCCAGTGAGGTGCTAGGGGGGTGCAATGCTGCAGGAGGTGAGGCAGGGGACTCAGGATGGGGTGTTCCCTGTCATTGCTGTCACCTGGGAGGTGCAGAATCTAAACTGTTGGAGGTGCCACTCTTAAATGAGATATCAAATTGAGCCCATTATTAAATATCCCAGGCCTGTTCCAGGAGTTGGGGATGAACCTCAGCCCCATTATTAAATATCCCAGGCCTGTTCCAGGAGTTGGGGGCGAACCTCAGCATCTTGTTCACAATCTTGTTCACAATCAAATGTATGCAGTGTTGTCAGAAGTACTAGTAACTACATTCTTCTGTCCTAAATAGGCCTAGTTGTTTGAGTTCAATAGGATATTTGCATATTGACATACTGTTGTGTGCTGTTAAACAGTTGGGCTGTGTCTACACTGGCCACTTATTCTGGAAAATCAGCTGCTTTTCCGGAATAACTTGCCAGCTGTCTACACTGGCCCCTTGAATTTCTGGAAAAGCACTGACGATCTACTGTAAAATTGTTAGTGTTTTTCCGGAAAAACTATGCTGCTCCCATTCGGGCAAAAGTCCTTTTCCGGAAAACTGTTCCGGAAAAGGGCCAGTGTAGACAGCACCGTAGTGTTTTCCACAAAAAAGCCCCGATCGCGAAAATGACGATCAGGGCTTTTTTCCGGAAAAGCGCGTCTACATTGGCCACGGACGCTTTTCCCGAAAAAGGGCTTTTCTGGAAAAGCATCCCGCCAATGTAGATGCGCTTTTTCCGGAAATACTTATAACAGAAAACTGTTCCATTTTAAGCATTTCCGGAAAAGGGTGCCAGTGTAGACGTAGCCCTGCTGTGTTCCACCTCAGAGGCAGTGGCATAAAGTGATTTCTGCATGTGGAGCACTTGAGTAACATACGATCGTATTACTAGTGAGATCCTCCCAGCAATGCTGGTACCAGGTCTCTTTCTGACCCCATATCTGGGTATATCTTACTTAATCAACTCCCTGCCATTGCAGGGACCTTGGTTCACCTTGGTCCCTCCTACTTTGTGTCTATGACACTTAGGGTAAGTCTACACTGCACCGTAGCTTGAAATAAGATACGCAATTTGCGTGGCTCAAATTGCGTATCTTATTTTGATCTTATTTCGAAATAGCTTATTTTGTAGTTTGGTGCCAACTTTCGAAATAACCCGCTGTTCCGAAATGTTCCTTACTCCTCGTGGAATGAGGCTTACAGGGATGTCAGAATAGTGAGCCCATTATATTTTGAAATAACGGGCTTGCTGTATCCCAAAATAGCATTGCAGTGTAGATGTAGCCACGATAGCTTAGGCTCCTGTAGGCTGTAGTATCTTGGTCTCATTTCAGTTGTCAGGTTCAGTGTGTTGGTGGCTTGTGATACGCAGGAGTCAGAATAGATGACCTGGTGGTTCCTTCTGGACTTAAATTTGATGACTCTAGGAAAACTCTGGATACTACTTATAGATGAGTCATCTACTGCAGAGGTCCCCAGACTGAGGCACGTGCCTCTAAAGGGGTGTAGGGGAATGTTTAGAGGCACATGGGGGTAGGGAGGGAGTACCACCCAGTTCTGCCCTGGCTGCTGGCCCTGGCTCCCCATGCCTAGGATTCTGGCCACCATCTTCCTGTGCCTGGGGCCCTGGCCACCAGCCAAGGCTCCTGGTCAACACTCTGCTCCTGGCCTGGCTCTCAGCTCTGGCTCCAGCCTCAGCCCTCATACCCTTGTCTACATCCCCCCCTCCTAGAGCCGTGTCCTTGCTCCCAGCCTTAGGTGGGGTGGTAGACAGAGGTAAGGGGGAGTGTGAGGTAAAAAACTTGGGAACCACTGATCTAGTGTGAACTGTGGGGAGCACGGACAACTTCGTGTAGGTCTCTCTAGACTCCAGGATGGGGAGAGAACCATCACCTGCTGATCACACACAGCAGCTTGCAAAGCACTTTGAGTCTGTTCTATTTCTGCACCCACTCTGTGGCACAATGGCTTTCTATTGCAGTACTGGCACAAGGTGGGTTGACTGGCAGCTGCTGAGAGCCTCTTGAAGGTCACAGAGACATAGGAGTTCAGCCTCTGTGAGCCATCCACTTTCTGTGAATTGATGCGGTCCCACAAACAAATCTACAGTTCCAAGTGGGAAACTGCCATGAAGGCAGCATCTTGTCTCCTAGGCACCGCGCCACTTGCCTCGATTTGGTCACAGTTCCTCTTCAGCCTTCACTGGCAAAGCTCGGTGCAGCCCCAAACTGCCTTTGCGCACCAGGGATAAGCAGCCATTAGTGTACAGTAGGGCTGAGGGTGTTTGGGGCACAGCAGATCAAAGCGACTTCAACTGTGGATGTTCAGAAGGTGGAAGTCTCCCCACTTGCCCTGGGGGCTGGATTTATTCCATAACAAAGAAAAAAGCCTCATCACGGGATGATCTTCTCTCCCGCAGGGGCCGGTTGCGAGCAGCATTGTTCAAACCACTTAAAGCTAGACAGTGCATAGCTCCATGGAATAACACACTGGAGGGAAAATTCCTGTATTTCCAGTGGGATGGACTTAATCCTCTTTGGGGACTGGCTCAGCGAGGACGTGTCATAGCACAGATGTGGTAGGGGATGACAGCGTGCTCCAGTGATTAGGACAGAGGCTAGTGTCCCACCAGCCTTTGGGGCAATGTCGGGCAGATGTGAGTTGTCAGGCCTGAGTCTGCATGGAGCAGTCAGTGCTGGGCCACATCTCAATAAAGGTAAGGGAAGATCCTGTAGGGAACTCGCCGGCAGTACTCCTGCCAGGCCAGCCCGTACTTCCGCAGGCACTGGTGCTCGTCCCGGGCCTCCCGGTGAATCAGCAGCATGGTGAAGTAGATGACGTAGAAGTAGGGCAGGACATGTGTAAGGCCTGAGGGGAGGGAAAGACATGGTGCATGAGGAAAGGAGTCCAGGAGCCCTCCCTCTAGGGCCTCTAGTGCACTGGTTCTCAACCCACGGGCTGCTGTGGTCTGGTCAACGCACAACTGTGGCCATGTGACATCCTCAGGCCATACAGGGAGGATATATGTTGTATGGCTGCAGCCCCCATACCACACAGAGAGCGGCGTCTGTGGCCCATAATGGTAAGTAGCTTGAGAGTCAGTGTCGTAGTGGATAGTGTCTGAGAGCTGAGCAAGCTTGTCTGTGGTGTAGATTCCTCCCCACTTCCATGCCAATGATATAGTGATGCCAGCACTTTGATGGGGCGACTGGCACCCTCCACCCTCCACCCTGGAACTTCAGGCCAACCAGACCAAGTGTCTTCTACATGGCTGGAGTATGGGGCAGCATATTGGGGCCATCTGCTTAGGACACGACTAGGATGTTGGGCCAGCACAGGCACCTTCTCTGGCTCATGAAAGACACAATGGGTGCCCCACAGTAGACACTATTGCCCTGAAGGCTAGAGAGATGCTCCCCTGCTTTTATTGCAAAGGGCAGTAGGGATATGGCCTGCATGTCCTACAGGCTCAGATTCAATGGGGCCACAATGCTGTGGGCAGAAGGAGACAATCCCCTTGTGAGCCTTTCCCCCAGCCCCCCCCATGCAGGATTTATACTCACCACAGGGCAGTGACCAAGCCAGAGCCATGATGAGATCCCCCAAGTAGTTAGGGTGGCGCACAAACCCCCACCAGCCAGACACCAGGAGCCGCCGGCCTGTGGCTGTGGGGATGGTTTTGAGACCTGGGAGGAGAAGGGCATTACCCACACGGCATCCATTCCTCCCACTCTCTTCCATTAGCCAACCCTCCCTTAGCTTTCCCGTCTTCTCCCCTTCTAGGCTCCTTCACTCCAAGTCCCCCTACAACTTCCATCCCAAAGGCAGCTTCAGCTCACCAGCTACTCTGGGGTCATTGGGGTTCCTGCGGAAAGTGTTCTTCTGGGAATTGGCGCTGCGGAAGATGCAGTAGCCCAGACCTGACAAGGAGAGAACCAGAGTGAGGATAGGCTGTGGGAACTCTAGGTAAGGGATACTGGGACTTCTGCCATGGATTGGTAAGGGAACGGACTGCTCTGGAGAAGACAAAGGGATGGATGAGAATGGTGGTGGATGCTAACCTAGAGCGTGGCATTGAGCAGGATTTTCAATCCTTAGGCTTCAGAGTGTGGCTTGAGGCTGGTCAGGAATGGATTTCACCCCAGTGTACAGCAAGGTGCATTGTAGGCTTGGTGAGGCAGGGAGAGTTTGTGTGCATTGGGGCAGGGGGTAAGATACTGTGTTAGATGAGGTCATGGAGTGAAGTGAGGGGAATATTACACCTATTGGTCATGCCTAAGTGGATCCATTGGTCTGAGGGAGGAGGAGGGGGGATATGGGCCTATTAGTTTGGTACGTGAAAGGGGATCACCCAAGCCTCACCATTCAACAAGAGGATCCCGACAGCCATGGGCAGGCTCAGCTTCTGGGGGTGGTTGACCAGGAAATAGGCCTGGAGGCTGTAGGTGAAGGGCACCCAGGCAAGGTCCCCAAAGGCCAACATGAAGCCAAACCCATCATGCACAATGTCCATGGTGGTGAGGATGGCCTCCTGCAGGACACAGTGAATTCACATCCAGCACGGATAAAAATCAGTGGTAAGAATTAAATTATTTTAAAATCCCTAAATCTCTTCAAAATTAAATTTAAAATTAATCTATGCTAAGGCCTAACCATGCTACAATATATTAAATCATTTAAATTAAAAAAAAAAACAATATTAAGCAGGATATGTTTGCTGCCAAGTTTAAAGAAAATTAAAACATGGAACTGCTTGACATCACTGGCTAGGCACCAGGAACCAAAGTTTGTTGAATCGCTAAATCTCTTGGCAGCAGTCTCTTCTGCAGGTGCAGAGAGAATATTTTTAGATTCAAAATTTGTATCCACATCTGCATCTGCAAAAATGAGCTGCGGACATTCGCATCCATGTCCACAAGTATGTCCACAAATTTGCAGGGCTCTAAATATTTTCATTTCATCCTATTCAACTAAATCAGTTCAGCAACTGGTTGTTTTGAAGTTAAGAAATCAATTGGGAGCCAAACAGGCAGGAAAGCTAGTTTTTCTCTTCCAATCTATGAAGAAAAACTAGATGTGAGAGGATGAGGTCTATTAGTTCTAAAATCTTGAATGACACGGTGACCAGAAACACAGTTAAATTCACTAACTACAGATACTTTCTTTGTTTGTGTAATCGTTTTTAAAGAGAACATATTTATTTATAAACTTTTTTAATATGTATTAGCAACAAAGCAGTTTTATTATATTAAAAACTCTAACATGTTGTTTATAGGGATTTTTTAATTGAATTTTAATTTCCATCCAAATACAGCTGGACATAAATTGCAAGTAAACATGAATCATCATATTGTGAATAAATACAACATTCACCATCTTCTAACATAATAAAAAGTGTAAAAATTAGAAATCTGAATACATGCACAGGAAGCTGATTAATTGCTCAAATAAATGTATACATAGAGGCTACATCTACATTGGCAAGATTTTGCGCAAATACTTTTAACGCAAGAGTTTTTGCGTTAAAGTATTTGCGCAAGAGAGCGTCTACACTGGCATGTGCTTTTGCACAAGAGATGTACTTTTGCGCAAAAGCATCCGTACCAGTGTAGACACTCTCTTGCACAAGAGAGCTCCGATGGCCATTTTAGCCATTGGGCTTTCTTGCGCAAGAAATTCATGTTGCCTGTCTACACTGGTCTCTTGCGCAAGAACAGTTGCGCAAGAAGGCTTATTCCTGAGCAGGAGCATCATAGTTCTTGCGCAAGAAGCACTGATTTCACACATTAGAACGTCGGTGTTCTTGCGCAAGAACTCCCCACCAGTGTAGACAGGCAGCATATTTTTGCGCTAAAGCGGGTGCTTTTGCGCAAAATCATGCCAATGTAGACACAGCCATATACTGTGTCCTCCTGGTTTGCAAAAAGAAGTGCTGAATTTGGTATATAGCCAGGGTACACTTGGTTGCAAATTAACATTTTTAATAACTACCAACCAATGAGAATCAACTTTTTGTTAAAAAAAAAAACCTCTATAAAGTAATAATGCAAAACTTGATTAATAACAATTATTTAAATTGCTTTGCTTTAAATCAATCCATCCTGAATGCATCTGTGCTTTATATCACCAACTCCCACTCCCTTCTCAGTTGGGTCCTCTCTCTCCCAGCCTCACAGCTTGGACCACTGGACTTTCACTCTCCTTCCAGACATGGGAAGAGAACGCACAAGCCTCCTCTAGAGTTTCCTTTGTATCCCCTAGCCTAGTGCAGGCCCCAAGCCAAGGCTAAGCCAGGGATGTAAGAGCGACTCACCTCATTCCACAGTGCATCCACCACATAGAGCAGCTGGAAGGCATTGACCAAGAGCATGGCCAGCGAGGGGCTGCCTCGCAGCTCAGTTTCTTTCACCAGCATGGCCATGTTCACCAGTGCCTGGCAGGAGGGGAGCAATCAGGCAGAGTTTGGAGAAGATCTGCCTCCTACCCTGCTCCTTTCCTTGCCCCCTACACCCTGTCTGCCCAGAGAAAAAACACCTGATTGCTGAATGGGACCCCAAACATCTCTCTGACATTCTGGAGAAACCAGACTGGTATCCTCCTCTTCCCACTGCCCAGCATTTGACCAAAGGCAAATCTAGCCCCCGTGTAAGACCATCCTTCCTGGTTTACTCCTACCACTGCATCAGACCAATGGGCCCATCCATGCTTGGCATCCCACACTCCTGCTGCCCCAGTTCAGACCAATGGGTCTGTCCAGTGTGGTATTCCGCACCCCTCCCCACCATGCTTGATCAGACTAATGGGTCCATCTAGGGCAGGATTTCTGGCTGTGGATAGTATCTGGTACACATGGACATCTGAGTGAGGAAAATTCCTCTGCCAACCCTTCCCACAGGACTAGTGCTCCCCTGCAGCAGGTTCTCCGATTATCCTTTGACTTAGCAAGTGTTACCACACAGGTCACCACAGCCATGGGCCCATGGGGCTTTCTGCAGCAGGGAGCGCACTGAAACCCCACCCACTTACCCAGCCCAGGAGGCCTGGACGCAACTCGCAGAAATACTTCAGGTCGAAGGAGCCGACGCGAGGGTTCAGCTCGTGGCCCATGAAGAAGTCATATATGGGGTTCCCTGTGTGACCAATAGCACGTCAGGCTACTCTTCCTTCCTTTCCCTGCCACCTTGGACCAGACCAATAGGCCCATCCAGCCCAGTATCTCCCCTGCTGCCTCAGATTAGACCAATGGGTCCAACAAGCCTGGTATGCTCCCCTCCCTGCCGCCCTGGATCAATTCATGTGTCCCATCCCGCTGGCCTGGTAGTCCCCCTTCTGTTGTGTTAAATCTGGATGGCTACATCTAGACTGGCATGATTTTCCGCAAATGCTTTTAATGGAAAAGTTTTCCGTTAAAAGCATTTGTGGAATAGAGCGTCTGGATTGGCACGGACGCTTTTCCGCAAAAGCACTTTTTGAAGAAAAGCATCCATGGCCAATCTAGACGCGCTTTTGCGCAAAAAAGCCCCAATTGCCATTTTTGCGATCAGGGCTTTTTTGTGCAAAACAAATCTGAGCTGTCTACACTGGCCATTTTGCGCAAAAGCTTTGCACAAAAGGACTTTTGCCCTAACAGGAGCAGCATAGTATTTCTGCAAGAAGCACTGATTTCAGACAGTAGGAAGTCAGTGTTCTTGTGGAATGGCAAGTTTTTCCGCAAAAGCAGCTGCTTTTGCGGAAAAACTTGCCAATCTAGACACAGCCGATGTGTCTGGTCTCCAATGGGTGCTGTTGCTGGATGCTTCATTAGAAGGTGGAAGGGTGTGAAGAGAGGAGGGCCTGGTATCACAGGGGTTAAACAAAGCCTTTTAGCCCAGCTAGCCATGCCCTGCTTTACCTGTTGCCGATGCCAGGCCTGGAGGGAAGATAAAAGGAAAGGAGCCTGGCTCAGTTAGGAACTGACCAGCAAGGAGACAGGAGTGTGGTTCTGCTGTCTGCAGGATAGGTACCAAAGCCTGTCAACTTGGCCAGCCACAGGAGCACATAAACTTCCAACCCCACCTCCTAGGACACAGGGGGAAACATGCTAGAACCCTACTAAGGGGAAATCTAGACTCTTGGGGCCACGCCCCAAACTTAAGGACTATACTTATATAGTGGGCTGGAGTTTCCAGGCCAGGGCACCAGCAGCAGGGTCTGCACCCCTTTTCTGCTGGCTAATTTTGGGACCTAACCACTAGGCCATGCTGTTGGCAGGGAGACCTGGCCCCCAAAGTTTAAGCTCCCTATAAGAAAAGTGGTTCCTTCCTGACCCTTATCAGCTGACCAGATACCTCCCTAAACTCCTTGCAGTTTGCACACCACGACTGGCATCACTGTCTGCTTTACCCTGCACTTTCCATTGATACACTAGGTGTGACCTGTGTATCTAAGAGAGTGTCTCTGTGTATCCCTGTGTATGTGTGATGCACAAATGCCAGTGTGAGCATGTCTGTGCGTTCACACATGTACATAGATACATACATCTAAGTATGCGTGTGTGTGTTTGTAGAAGATTATCCCTGTGTCTGCATGCCCCATGGGAGAGGACAGACTCACCTGAGTTCCCACCAGGTGCCAGTGCTGTCTCCGGAGCAAAGAGGGACTTGAAATAGAGGAGGAAGCTGAGGCCAAAGGCCAGCAGCAAGGCCGAGAAAGCCAACTGCAGGAAGTGGTCATAGATGTAGCTGAGGCGGAGTCCGGCTGCCAGTCCAGCCCCCACCACGAGGGCTGTGACGCCCATCGCATGGAAAGCTGCCGTGTGGGAAGAGAGAAAGCAGGATTAGGAGAAAGGAGAAAGCTGATTACATACAGCATCACTTTGTGACTTTTAGTCGAGGATCCTTGTGTCTCAGCCCATTGTGTTGTTCTGGGCAACTGAGGCACAGAGAGGGGAAGGGACTTGCCCAAGGTAACACAGAGAATCTGTGGCAGATCCCAGATCTGAGGAGTCCTGACTCCTTGTTCAGACCCACTATGCAGCACTTTCCCCCAATACTATTACTTGTTACAATGAGGATTCAGTAGGCGATATGCTCGGCCGCAAATTCTGGGGCAAGGCACAGTCGATTTCCCCTCCCACACCACACCTGACACCCACCATTGATACGATACTGGAGCCGCCTCTTGTCTCGAAGGACGATCCCTTCTGTGACCTGTGGGAAAACAACACAACCTATTGGCACTGATCTCCCTGCTCTTGACTCCAACCCCTCATGACTCATCCTCCCTGGAACTTCATGCACAGCCATGTAGATTAACTTATTTTGAGCAGGTGTCTGCCTATATGATGCAGCTATCTGGCCATGATCTGGCTCAGCCCATGGCCCATGCAACTTGCATGTGCCCTTGACAGCCCATGGGCAGCCAAGCAGGTACCATTAGGCAGAGGGCACCCAGCAGGGAAGGGGATGTTCTGCTCTTTCCTCTGCCCCAGTGAGGCGAGACCCAGCATTACCTTCCCCATAGGCAGCATGTAGAGGGCAGCCTGCAGCCCGACCCAAGCCAGGAGCAACAGGAAGGTGTGGGGGTTCCAGAGGGTGCTCAGGGGTGGAAGTGGAGGCGGGAAGTTCAGCACACTGGCTTGCTCTGTGCCACATGTCAGCAGGAGATAGAAGACAGTAGCTGGCATGAGAAAGATGAGGATCACGGCTCCTGCAAAGGGAGGAAGGAGGAGTTAGAGGGACAAGGTCCCCAGGGCGATCAGAATTGTGGGTGAGTGATAGGCAGCAGCATCCCTGAGAGATAAGACCATGCAGTGAGTCAGTGGCAGAGCTGGGAACCCAGGATGCTGACTCCCAGCCCCGCCCTGCTCTAACCATGTAGCTGCATGCACAGCCCTGAAGCACAGCTCCAGTTCATCCTGCCTTTCAGGGTACAGGAGCCACTGCCTTCCAACCCCCCTCACCCTGGCCTTACCCAGGGGCCCTCCAAACTCCAGCTCTTTGGTGCGTGGGATCTTATAGCGATCCATCATCCTCCTGATGCCCCAGCCCTCGCTACCCAGGCACAAAGCTCTCCCCACAGGAACAGCAGTGGAGCTTCTCAAACCACAGTCACTTCCTCCTTCAGGAGCGGCTCTTGTGGATCAGACCTACGGGACACAAACAGGTAATTAGCACTCTCAGAGGACAGTGGGAGTCAGCTGAGACAGGTGGGAAGGTTGGAGACACAACCTGC